ATGTCCAGATCAATTTGGTGGTTGTTTTTAGTTGTGAATGATATGTAATGGGTTTTATCAAAATTTAATGAGAGTAAATAGGCTTCGAACCATCTGTTTAAGACTTCAAATACAATATTTATGTCATTTTTAAAGTTTTCAAATTTAGAGTTCTTAAATATTATACATATTGTCAAGACAATTCCTGATATGGTCATTAAACCGCTATGCAAGGTGTGGGACTTCAAGCATCCGTCAAACTATCAACAAACAACACTGCAATAATAAAGTATAAAATATATGGCCATTTATTAAGCATGTAATGAACCAGGATCTTTAATCAGTATTGTACACGTAGTTAAAATATTTCTCCAGTGAGTAAAATGAATTTTGTAGTAGAAATCTTTTTAAAGCAAATTTAAATGAATGAGTAAACACAATGAACTGAACATGCAGAGTGTGACAAACCAATATTTTACAATGAAGGGACTAGAGTCAGTGCTATTAGTCAGCAAGTTACTTACCAAAAAGGTATAACAGTATACCACAAACCATACATATATATTTAAACTGCCCCCTCCCCACACTTATTTGACTACAGAATATCTTATACTGACAAAATTGGCAAAACATTTCTATATTCTGAAATTATCACTTATTTTATTAAATGCACTATGCATGAAGAAATTCTGATTTTCATATATATGCTGCATAACTTATTTCTGTTATAACGTTTTTAATTCATATNCTCGTATTCTGAAATGATCACTTATTTTATTAAATGCACTATGCATGAAGAAATTCTGATTTTCATATATATGCTGCATAACTTATTTCTGTTATAACGTTTTTAATTCATATTTCTAGACCAAATACTTATGAAGGTACAGGCTCTTTCTTGAATTCACTCAATTAAGGAATCAAAGGGTTAAATTCTTAAATTTAAATAAAAAGTGGCATTCCACAAGGACATATTGTTACATAGCCAGGAAAACAATCATTAATAGTAAGAACACAGAGATATGACAGAAGGCAATTGTCAGTTTCAGTTTGCCGGTATTATCTTTGTGTTCATCCAGAAATAACCACAGCACCCATAAGAAGCCTTACACAGGATAAATAATACTCAGCCAGGATTTCATCCAGATACTCCTCTTGAAAACAACCTACATGTTACCTGTTAAGTCATTTAGTCCTCTTGTGGGTAATTTCACTTGCTGATATATCATGAATGTCATGCTATCATTCATCCTTTAATTTCCCTTAAGATTGTAAGTACTGTTCAGTACACAAAGAAACACGTCATCAGATGTGCCACTCTGAAGAGTACTGTTCTTTATCAGCATATGGGTCATTACTGTGTCAGTAATCTATTACTTTCCAGACAGATAAGATACACAAGATATAAATCTTATCTGATAGAACATATTTTGGTGTTTGATATCTATTGTAAAATTAAAAGGACTTCTGTCCAACTGCACTCTTAAAGAAACATAATCTCATGTGTGAGGTTCTATCTCCCAAGTTCTTATTAGGATACAGAATGATAAAATTTGTAAAGGTGGATCTGGAAATGAGCACATTTCACTTCCTGCTACCTATACAAACATAATTCATCTTTGCTGTACCTAAAATCCACAGAGGGACAACTTTAACCTTCTCTGAAATTTGACAATTTCAAATGATATCTCTCAGATCTGCCATGTTAAATCCACTGAAACTAACCTGCGCTTCGTTCCATCTGTTCTGACGGTTGTGTTGATGTCCTCCTCCTCATCAGACCGGTAAATTTCATCACATTCAGCCGTAACTGCAGTACTCAGAGGTAAGACATAGAAGTTGTCCTGGAGAACTGACACACCCTTTTTGCCAACTCTGGTCAACTTCTGACAGCTCGGGCACAGGAACTCCACTCCACCACCATTTACAATCTTCCTCTAATCACAATGAATATGTAGTCAGTATCAAAGGCCCACAGAGGTAAGAATATCTGAGTAACTGACTCACTGAGGGGATAACAATTGGCACTATATTCCCAGCAAGGATAAGGATTCTTCTCTTCAGTATCAAGTCCAGAATGGTTCTGGGGACCACTTATCCTCTTATCTAAGGTCACTGAGAGGCACTTTTCCTGGAGATAAAGCAGCCAGAAGCTATCCATTCACTTCCACAAGGTGATAAGGTCTAGAATGTGCTGCATATTACCTCCATGCCACCTGAACACCTTCACTATCTTACAGCAGCTTCATCATAGCCTGAATTTGAATAGTGAATTCATAAAACCAACTAACTAAGTGTCTTGGCTAATAGAACCCAACATCCATGCCTAGTACTGAATACAATCCTGTCAGTCAGTACAGTCCCAGTCACACTATCACAACTTAATTCTTCAAAATCCATTTTTATTTACTCTTTACACAGAGTATGTGAAATGAACACACACAGGCTAGGCTATGCCAGTTTGTTATTAACATGTTTCATTTGTGAAACTACTATAGAGGCTCTGATAGTATTTAGTACTATAAAAGTTGTCAACCAAATTTAATCCTGACTCCTATCAGTCTGACATGGTATACCCTATTTTACATGACATATATATTAACCTTTATCAATTTCCTGAAAAAAACTCATTATACAAAAAAATCTGTACATGATATCATATATCGATCTCATTATATTCTGGTCAGTTTATCCCTGTGCCTAACCAATTAAACACTAAGCCATGGAGATCTATGGGGGAGTGGATGTACAGACCCACTTTTTCTTACCTTGGCATTAGTTGGAGGTGAGTAATCAGTTTCACCCTAGCCGCTTTACCCCAGAGGAAAGAGCCCATGGTACCCATTGGATAGGAGGTTGGGCGGGCATCAGAGCCGGCCTGGACGACACTGAGAAGAGAAAATTCTTGCCCCCAACAGGACCCAAACTCCAATCCCTCTGTCGTCCACCCCGTAGCCAGTCACTATACTGATTGCACTATCTTGGCTCATCAATATATTCTACAAATTTTATATTAATCATTTTACAAAGTGGCAAATATTTAACAAAGAGCAATGAAGAATAATTCCTAATGCCACGTAGTGATTAATTTGGAACCAAAAATTTCTATCTGCAATAAATGAACATCAAGGCCAATATAATATGTAGTACAGTAAGGACACATTTAAAAAAATATGTGCACCCGATGGAAATAAATGTTTCAGTTCCTGTGAACTTAAAGAGCTCTGATTCCAGTATATTAAATCTTCTGTTCTATCATTGGTTTGGATGGTTATACATGTCTTTCTCAGAGCATGGAAAATGATGTTGTATGTTTTCCTGTTATCATTACATTATATAAATAATAAGTGGGGAGTTAATGTGTATGTCTCAAAATGTCAAGTTTACCATCTGTTTTGTACTGCTATGACACAATGTCTCTTACACTGAGGGAACAAGAAAATTTTAACATGTTTGAAAATAATATGCTTAGGAAAATACCTTTGAGACTGAGTAAGTGGGCAGCTCAGGAAATTTCATAACAAGGATATCTGTGAGTCAGAGGGGGGACAGAAGAAATGCATCTGGAAATTCTGTGGGTGACTCTTGGTAAGTAGTCACTCCCTTCTTCATTTGGACTAATGAACTTTCACTACAAGTACGACATAATACAATAAAACACGCTAACCATGCATGTGTTTACAGCCTTGCTCACACACAATCCCTGCTAAACCTCATGCAACACTGGTTTTTGTTGCATTCTATGAGCTGTTTCATAGTATTTTCTTGCACAAAAATTGCATTAACAAAAAAATGAACAGCAAATTAAATTTTGAGAATGGTTGCTACCATTCAATTCAGCTGCCTTCTAAAAACATGATGATTAAAATAAACAAAACTATAATTTTGCCTGTAGTTGTTTATGGGTATAAAACTTGGTCCCTCACAGTAAGGGAGGAGTACAAACTGAAGATGTTCAAGAACAGGGTACTGAGGAGAATATTTAGACCTAAGAGGGATGAAATACAAGACAGCTACAGAAAAGTCATAATGCAGATATTCATAAACTGTACTTCTTACCAGATGTTATTAGGATGATGATGGCAATGTGTATGGGATTGGCAGGTCATGTAGCATGAATGGGATAAACTATATTTGCTGCACATAACGTCTTTCTTTGAGAATCTTGAAGAAAACGGACCACTAGGAAACTTAGAGATAGATAGGAAGATAAATAAGAAACAGAAAACTACACTTCAAGTCGCAACTAGTGTGACTGAACAGAGGCACCATGTGTCATGAGATAAGAGAAGTCAAATTCTTGGAAACCTCCGAGATTTCTAGGGCTGTATAGCATGGTTCACAGGTCTATTAGAGTATCATTATAGACAGGTGGCACAGCAAAATGTGCGGGCCTGCAAAAACCAGTTATTATTAATATGTACACATAGAAACGAAACAGATAAGGTTTGTAAACTGAAAATCTTGTGGTTCTGTCTGAGCTTCTGCTTAAGTACATGTAGCGTAACATACAGAAAACAGCCAAATAACCTTGGCATACAGTGTATCACAGTTCTCACGTGAATAGAAATTCTATGAATTGTTAGTGACACATGTTAAATATATAACATATTCTTCACTTATAGATCTTGTTTTACATTTTTTGATAGATTCTGAGAGGCCAACAAAGCATTCTGTTATTTGATATCACAAATCACAGCAGTCATTTTATAACAAACATGACTATTATTCTGAATGTTGTTAAACCATTTGCTTCTTTTTCAGATATGGCGAAGTGGAGACTGATTCTGTTTCTGTAAGCAGGCATAGGGGGCCTAAGTTTTCCAATTCAGTTGGACCTGTTAGGAAGAGCTAGTCCTGATCCATGGACTCAAAGATGGTGGACAATGTCAAAATAATAATTATTTTTAGTGTTATAAATGGGTGGCAGAAACATTCAGTTTTTATAATTAACAAAGAAGCACTGAGTAGTGAAACCAGTGCCTTTTCTTGCAGTTTTCAGTGTGAAAACAGTATTAATTCACAGCTGGGGCACACATATGCGTGTCAGAAGAAGCAATCTATGAAATATACATACATATTTGTAAAATCACTTTGAATATCCTTTACATTTTTGTTTCTGAACATCATTTTTCTCAGGATTAACAGCTCATGACCCACCAGTCACAGTATTTTGTGAGGAGAATCTTTCCAAAACACATCCTTAAATTTCCTGCAATCTTCATCATCTTGTACAGCTGTTATGACATTTTCTTACAGACTGGGCATTTCAGTTTTAAGCTGCATATGAATCCATACCTTCATTCCTTATGTATGAACTTCAGGTTCACATTGTCCTAATTTTAAGGGTTGATTTTCTTGTCATTTTATTTATGTTCTAAACACAGGGAATGAAACTGCAGATCAATTGGCAAGAACAGGATCTGAACAGCCGTTCACAGGACCTGAACCAGCTTGCGGCATCTCAACTGGAGTTTCCAAAAAAGCGATCAGGGACTGGACTGATAGAAATCATAAAAAATACTGGGAATCCATAACTGGACTCAAACAGGCAAAGGGTTTTATATCAGGACAATTGGCCAGAATAACGAAGAATCTGTTGAGATTAAACAGAGATGGGTGGTAGGATTACTTACTGGACACTGCCACCTAAAAGGGCACCTTCTCAAAATGGGACTGACAGATAACCCAACTTGTGANGCACCATAGCTCAAGCGGTTATTCGATGGTTTCCAGCCGCAGCAGCCCGGGTTCGATCCTGGGTCTGGTCAAGTGGAATTTGTGGNTATCCTGTGTGACTGAGGCCGTAGCTTATTTAAGATTTCGTCACTTGGGTCAGTTTTTTTATGGAACAAAGTGACTTTTATGACGTCCCCATAAGCAGGGTCCTACACTTTACACTTAAAAGTGTAGGATTAATAAAGGGCTAATCCAAGGGGAAGCACAATAATCACTGAAGGTCGCAGTGCGGGGGCCGGTTTTTATGGCCCACCCCTTACATACATTACATTACATTAGGAAGATAGTATTAAAATTGAGGCCACGCCATAGCTCAAGTGGTTAGTCGCTGGCTTCCCACCGCAGCAGCCCAGGTTCGATCCTGGGTCTGGTCAAGTGGAATTTGTGGTGAACAAAGTGGCGCTGGGGCAGGTTTTCTCCGAGTACTTCGGTTTCGCCTGCCAACCTTCCTTCCACCAATTGCTCCACAATCACCCTCACCTATCATCTGGGGCTGGTACAATAGGCCAGAAGTGGCCGCAGTACAAGAGACTTAGTCCCACCCCACTAGCATTAAAGAAGTTAGTATTAAAATTAATTAATTATAAAATTAAAAAAGTAATGTTAAGTAAACAAACTGATGCTCAGTAATTAACTTCAGAGGTACATACCCTTTCTGTCATAAAACAACGAATTTGTATTGAAGTAAACTGCATAAAGTATTGTTACCTCTTCCTGAATCTTGGTGAGGCATTTACAGCAGTAAGTGTGGTAACATTGAAGGAACTTTGGTTTACGGTCTTCTTGGTTGAAGCGCTCCATACAAATACCACATCTTACTAAATCCAACGCGCTTTCCGACATTTGAAGCCTGCTGACGTTGAAATCCTAGTCTTGAAACAGAGAATCATTCAAATTACTGTGAAGCTGGTACCAAGAAACAATGCCATTGCTATGTGGTTACCACGATGCTCTGGCAGGAGTGCTTGTCTGTGCATGTATATTGTCTTTTGTATCTTTATATCTACACCAGTTTCTTCATACCTTACACACAAATTTATCTGTTGTTATTTTGTAGTATTTAGATTTGTATGACCAATTGGCATATGAGATACATGATTTTTTTTTCATTCTATTTCCAGTTCTCTTGATTCTACAGGAACATTAAAAAAGCAAAGTTCATCCTCACCTTCTAATAAATGTAAATTTCATATGTGTAAGACAGATATACAATTATTATGTTTCTGGACACTATCCATCATCATGTTTTCATTTGCAACAGGATGGATTATGTCCAGAAACACAATAATCATATTAACATACCACTGACACAAACTTTTAGATCTTATAATCTTTGCTATTCAAAATTCTATTAAAATTATATACAATACTTCTCTGCTAACAAGAATGACAGGTTAGTGCTTAGGTATAATCTACTGATAACTGCTGTACTGTACCCCTGCACACCTAACTTTTATCTAACATCTGCCAAGTAAGAAAACTCTTATTAGCTGGTGATATGAATTTATTTACGATTCAGGTAATCAGTTTCTGAAAACTTATACATGATATTTTAATTTCTTTTCTAAAAAATAATATTAAGACCTTTCTTTCATATGTAAATTTAATACATAAGTGATTCATAACAACAATACTGTGGCAGCAAGGGCTTTGAGAATAACTGCTCTACAAGATTCTTTAATTATCAAAATAGCTGAAATGAACAAATAAAATCAGGAATAGCCATGGTCCATGTAAATCTGTCATCCCAGGCAAGGAGAAAGACTGTCATTCCCCTACCTAAATTAAAAACAGGTTAAAATTCTCAACGCCTAAACCACAATTAATAAACACAAAATTCTGGGTTCCACTCAGTTTAGGTGAAACTAACTGTCCTAGCTTCAGTCTTTCAAACTTGGGTTTCATGCTAAGCTTCATTTGTATAGTTTACGGTCAACTGAGAGTGTCTGTATACCTGACAACCTCTCTTGCAATAGGGACGTTTTTAAATAATTTTTCATTAGTTTTATATTAAAAAAATCCCTTTTGTTTCAGGCCAGAGAAGTCAACAATTTTAAAGAACACAAAAGAAAATGCAACTTCTAGACAAATGCTGTTCCATAGGGGCTGCAAAACTTATAGCTTTGCACCATTCCTTATCTGCACTGAATAAATATAATCACAACTGAGCAATTAATTTAAATCCCTTCCCCCATTAAATAAATTAAAAATAATAAATACTGAACCGATAAATACATTGTTCAATTTATGCCAGAAGGGCAAATACCTAAAACTCCATGAATAGTTTGCTCTAGGAATTATTTTAATTTTCTTTCAACCCCTCCATTAGCAGACTGCAGAGTGTTAGGTGATGTTACTGTGGGTTTAAGATTACAGAATTAGACAACACCAGTGCTGCCCTTCTGTTTAATTCACACAGCTGCATAATGTTCACATAAGTATAAATTAATGATCATAATATGGACAGAAGTGCAGCAGAAATTAATTTACCCTTAACCAGTTTGTTACATGTGTTGCCTCAGGCAGCCACTCAATTCCCCCCTCTCTCTCAATCTGTCTAATAGCCCACAAATTTTGTATCTTCAAAACCTTGCTACTTAGTTAAGTAAATTTTAATACTGGTTGTGAAAAAAGAACGTGTTAAAAGGAAGCCCATATTCCAAAAGAAGAAAAAGATGATCCAGGATGAGCTGGCCAGAGGACGTTGAGAACGACCTGAAGAAGATGAAGGTGAAAGGATGGATAGAAAAGATGAGGAATAGACATCAGTGGAAACTGGTTGTAGAGGAGGCCAAGTCTCACA